ATGAATTTTTGTGTGGGGGATGCTGAGTTAAATTATTTAGATTGTTTTAAAGTAGTTAACTTGATGTTTTTCTGTTTTTGTTCAATTTTAGGGATGAAATTTCCTGTTGATTTGAAGAATTTGAAAATATCTGATATAAGAATGTTATATATCGATGTGCTGAATACATATTATCATTTCAAAAACACCTCGTATAGTTGAAACATATATTTTTGCAGTTATGACCAAGTTAACGTTTCACGATCTATCAGGTCACGTGACTGATGTTCCTCATGAGGATTTTGATAAGAATTGGCCTACGATATATAAGATTTCTATATAACAGAATTATTTTAGGTCTGATCGGGTATGCTTTAATATTAGATCACCCGCAAGATGATACCTATATCGCTTCCTGCGGATTACATCCCATCGCATTAAACACTATCCCTAGTTCCTCTGACTCTTAGATTACCAGTTTTGGTAGAGAGTTGTTCGACATATTTCATGAACCAACCAGAATACCTCCTATGGTGAAACACTGAACTGTAATATGAGTTTTAGGTGTAAATAGTTGTTCGATAGATTCCAAGGTGGACGGTGAAAGGGTGTTCTCTTCTAGTTGTTTGATGCAGAATGTTTAGCATTATTAGTCTAGTATATTTGGAGCTTTCCAGATACCTATGATATCATTTTCATTGCTACCTCTGAATATGGTGATATCTAGAGAATTTTCGGACTTTGCATATAGATGGAGAATCTTTCTTGTAGAGTAGTTGACAGCTATATGTTTTTCTGCGGGAAGGCTGCCATGTTTATATTCTCTGTATAATCGCTGATCCCTGACGTTCCAAGCCTCTACTGCCCCCCTTACATTTCGAGTTCTAGTTAAGAGTTGTTTGATATATTCCGTGGGTTCTTTCTTTAGTGAAGTTGTTAAATGAGTTCTGGTGAAGAGTTTATCGATATATTCTAAGGTGGATGGTGAATGGGTGTTATTTCTTCGTTATTTGATGCAGAATGTGTAGCATTATTGGTCTTGTATATTTTGAGCTCTTCAGATATCTATAATATAATTTTTCCATGTTGTCTGTCAGTCAGTATAATGATATATAGTGATTGCGTCACGCTAATTTCCCATTGATTTTGCTGATATATAGATAATTCTTAAACCTATTATAGGTATAATAAGAATCGTTCTTGTGGAGTAGTTGACAGCAATATGTTTTCTCTGTCTGAATGCTGCCATGTTTATTTTTCTGTATAATCGCTGATCCCTAAGGCCCCTAGCCTCTAGAACCCCATTACATTACGAGTTTTGGTAGTGAAATTTTGACATATTTCGCTGGCCATTTACCCAGCCACACTGCCATTCACACCGCCATTCACCCCCGCCACACTGCCATTCACACCGCATATCACCCCCCCCCCCCCCGCCACGCCATCATTTACCCAGCCACGCGGACATTCGCACCGCCACACCGCCATTCACCCTGCCATTCACCTTGACACACCGCCATTCACCCTGCTACACCGCCATTCACCCAGCCACACTGTCATTTACACCGCCACACTGCCATTCACACCGCCACTTTGCCATTTTTGTAAAAAAGGATCACTTAAATAAAATAGTTCATTATAATATATAGTTGTTTTCGTATCCTTTTACTCCCCACATACATCATATTGCAAACATCATCTGTCATACGTCATATGTCATGTATTACTTGGCATCAGATATTTCTTGAACATCTGACAACATTGTAGCGTCATCGAATTCATAAATAATAATTTCCAGCGTATGGCAACAATATGTGACGGTTATCGCTGCACACGAATCTTATCAGCGGAAGCTTCATCTGATGTTGTGTGTATATTGTCGATAAAACTAACATAGAAATATTTCACCATAAATTTATTTTGTAATACCTGTGTCTTATCTCTAGAACGCATCTCTTGCTTTGCTTTACCTCTACAACAGATCCGTTGCAGAGATAAGCGCGTGCCAGCGATGGATATTATTTTCGACTCGAAGTTTCTTATCTCTGGAACGCATCTCTCGCTTTGCTCTACCTCTACAGATCTGTTGCAAAGATAAGCGCGCGCCAGCGATGGATATTATTTTCGACTCGAAGTTTCTCATCTCTGGGACGCATCTCTCGCTTCGCTCTACCTCTACAGATCCGTTTCAAAGATAAGCGCGCGCCAGCGATGGACATCATTTTCGACTCGAAGTTTCTCATCTCTGGAACGCATCTCTCGATTCGCTCTACTTCGATAGATCCGTTTCAAAGATAAGCGCGCCAGCGATGGATATCCCGTTTGAATAGCATTGAAATAATTGGAATATTACGGTGGTCGGAATACCACAGTGCGTATATACGCTACCTCATGATGCAAAGGTCCCTGGTTCAATTCCCCAGCGGTGACAGCTTTTTTTAAATTTATTCATTCACGATGGCGACGTGACGACGTATGAATAATTTGAATTTCGCGCTGGTTTTCAGTGGGCGTAGCCTCCAACCAAATGCTGGCCTCTGATTGGCTAGTCGGGTCACGTGGTAGGTGGAGTGGAGGGGCTGAACTGGGGTGTCGCGACCCCTACTCATGTGAATCCTCATGTTGATGATCAGGATCCATAGTGTGTCAAATAATTGGCCAATTCTAGCCGTTTGTTTCCAAGTTTTTAGTGATTGAGAAAAATCGAGATTCTGATATTTTCAATATGTTTGTCTATTTCCATGAATATTACCTCGTCATGATGAAATGCAATACACTGTATGTGATATTGTCATCTATTCGAATGAAGGAATTCATTTGGTAGAAATTAGACGTGGAGCGTTTTGAAGATTCATTACGACTTAGAGCACATAATTCAAAACAGCGAAAATCAAATGATTGACACCCTGTAGCTCGAAAACAGGTCATATGATAGATTTGTTAATTGGACTGTGCAATGAGGACGCTAATATATGAAACATCAAATTTCCAGAAAAATCAGTCGAAAACCATTTTCCGTACTAAATGTGCAGGGTCCTTCATGCAATTGTGAGGGATAGTTTCAGGTTGATTTTTTATAATTCCAAGCATGTTGCTTTCATATAATTCTTTGATAGACATCTGCAATTATGCATACATTTTTTCCATTTCATGTCATGTAGGCAATGGGCAGATATAACTCCTTCTTCCATTGCGTAATTGATGTTCAATGTGACATAGTCCCTTTTACCTCTGATGTGTATCTGCTCAGTTATGAAGAATAGGTTATATAGGCACATAACACCCTCCATGACATAACCGAGTATTATCGAAAAATGTTATTCGACCACTTCTTTCACTTGCCCCTTCATTTATAAGACACTATTTTGTCGCACGCATTCTTTTAATCAATACGATCAGCGAGGACGGATCCAATGGAATAATGATGGTGACAATATACAGGGTAACCAAGAACAAGGTACCATGAATATTACAGGGTGAACTTGAGATCAAAATAGGCCGACTCAAGTCAAATTACCTCAATATGAAAATGCACCATTGAACAGTGGGAGGGCATTGAAGAATAATTTCATTCCCAGATCTACTTGAATATTTCAAAATCCTTTGAAGGTATTTACTACTCTGGAATCCGGGCATGAAGAATATGTGATATCAATTGGATCAATATATAGAGAGATGGATAGGTATTTCGCATTCTCTTTGATAAAAAATTATATAACTCTTTTGATGTACGCCCCTTACTACATTTCAATATTTCAATGCATAACAAAATCAATCTTCTCACTGCAGTTTTTCATAATTCTTCTTGGTTTCAGAGATCCTATCTAACATAATTGATTTTGATGCTTCTACATACTTGTTCATATAGGATGTGTCAGGGTTGTCATGTTCCGCAAGTTTCTACTTGATTTGTGTTATTGACCACAATATTCGTATTCATGACCTACTTCAGCATATAATGAGGTTGTTGGTGATTTTCAAATAATTTGTTCTCTAAAAAAGTGTTTTGCGTGAGAAGAATCAAGTTTGGAGTTGACCAGTTCCCAAATCATATGATGATGAGCTTGCAAAATGGTGAACATAAATTTTGTGGTCAATAAATCAACACGAATGAGGTAGAAATTTGCGAAATATTATAGATAATCTCGACATTATGAACAATTATGGGGAAGCAACAAAATAAATATGGTTAGATATCTCGAAAACTGAGAAAAATCAAATATCAAAGTTCGATAATTACGCCACTGGTACTCCAAAAAAGTTACATCAATTTTCATCAAAGAGAATGTGAAATATATATCTCCCTGTATATTGATTGAATTGGTATGACATGGTTTTCATGCACATTCGTGATACTAAATTGTTCTACAAATTTTGAAGTAATACTCTCTGAGGATTCTGAAATATTCAGGAAAATCTGTAAATAAATTCATTATGCATCGCCCTCTCACGGCTCAACGGTGCATTTTCGTTTATCCAATCAGGCATTTTGGTGTAGTTAAGCAAGGCATTGCATAATTTTGACATGTAATTTGACACTTCTCAAAATTGAAGAAAATTATGAAACGTTTCACCTCACGTAATAAGTTGCGTTAAGTGAAATGTTTCATGTTGAAATGTTTTTTCAATCATCAGTGACGAAATAAAAATAATGATGGACGAAGAGAATAGTGCATCTTTTGCTACTTCCTCGATATCACGTTATTAATGTAGACTCAAATCAATTATTTTTCACTGATAAAAATATCAAACGAATCCATTTCGTTGCTGATTCGTGACCGTATCATTGTTTGACAGATACTTCAAAGTGACAGGCGAAGTCAACTTGCCTTCTGAATTTTGGATTCAATCTGTTGAACTGATGTAGAACTAGTCATTATATTTGCTCAAACGAACTTTCGTCACAATAAGAAAAAATATTGTACCTAACTGGTTAAGAAAAATCTCACTGAAGAGAGATATGTATCTGAAGTGAGCAGATAATCGAATAGGAACCTTTTGAAATCAATCAATTTTTATAGTGGGGCAACATTCTTCACATGTCATCAATCACTGCAGGAATTGTATCAAAAACAACAGTCTAGAAGGTTTGATAAAAGTGATAAGAACTGGTGGCCTATGAATATTTCAGTTGGATTCACAGAATTCAAAGATTGAATCACTATTGAAGATGATTTGATCGATTATGAAGCATAAAAAGAATCAAGAAGAATACTCTGGATATTGTTTATGATTATGTGATGATGATGATAATAATAAAGGTACTAATTACTGAAAACATGTATTTGCGTTTCTTTTGTACCAAAAAAGACTCCGATACAAATCAGGGGAAGATTGAAATCATGGTAATACAATGCAAATACTTGAGCATATCACTAACATCATCGAAGTGGGAAAAGTTTGTCACTCTGTTTAGGCAAGTTGAGATAAATATAAAAGGCATCAGGTGCCTTTACTGGTTATTAGAGGTTATTTTCCGTACTACACGGTGATCAAAAATAGAGTGAAATTGAATTGAATTGAATTCCAGGAGGACCACTAAGCTTCGAAGTTTATGATTCATCTCTGTAGTTCATTTTTGATTTCTGTAATTTCCTCTCTCGGAATATTCAATAAACACAAGGATGGAGTTGGAGCAAACAATTTTGAGAGTTGAAATCCCAAATCCCACTCAAGCTAGTTTCGGTTTTCACTGTGATTGAAATTCATTCCCACACTGGTCATGATTGAAGGATGTCAATGTCGTCATCACTCCAGAGTGAAAATCATTATCTGAAAATTACAGTTACATAACTTAAGAGTTCTTGGAATATAATAGTGAGGAGTTCATCTCATACTGAACAGTGTCGAAACCATCGGAAATTGTTCGAATTATTCACTTTCCATGAAAGTCAAATAGCTCCTGCATTGAAAAAATTAACACACTGCTTTGTGTTGAGGTGCTAATAAGGGGTTGTCATATTTCATCATTTTTGAATGATATAGCACACTAGTTCAGTTAACTAGACACTACTCAGTGTTGAGATCTTATATTAGTTGAGTTGAAAATACATACACATGTCACAGTATTTATAGGCTTCCAGCAGACATTCAGCGACGATGTCTCAGCACTCTCGGCAGCGTCACCTGCAGAGTCTCAAGAATAATTGACAATCCATATGTAGTGTAGAGTTGTATCCCAATCATTCAATTGATCTTTGAAAAATACTCGACTCATCTATTTTATAAATCGTTCGAGATATAAATTGGAATCGTGAAAAACTGAGATATACGAAAAACCGTTACATTTAACGATTTGGATTGAGAAGAATCATACTATTAACGTTAAACAAACTAACCCCTCAATGTTTTAGAAAAAGAAAAAAGTCAAACAAGAAAAAATTCAATGTTGAAAAAATCTGTCACTACTTGTTTAGGTATTACTTATTTCACTATTGTGACCTTCACTTTCTAGAAAATATGGTTATTACGTGGAACAGCAGCTCTTCGTCGGTATGCACTAGGTGTGAGTTTGTTTAGATTTTTCAGCTCGAACAACTGTACATGATATTCAAATTACTCAAATGGAACTTAGGAAGGGGCACCACAGCATCTTTCGATTAGAGACAGAACTAATTTTTCATTTCTTGGGTAGTTGTGCAACCAAATGATACTTTACTGTAGCTGAGCTAAAATAGACCAAAAAAATTATTTCTAAATTGATGAGGATGAGAGCAGTATACCAAGATTGATGAATAAATAAATTCCAACTATTAAACAAACAGGTTTATTTCTCCATGGTGGCACAGGGTGAAAATGAACCAAAATATTGAGATAGAAATCGGTACTTCAATAAATTATAATCCCGAACAGATTCATTCATATTAAAAGGAGATCCGCAGCCGCATAATACTATGGTTGGTTTTACAAATGTTGACGATATATCATGAATACTAGGAAATCAAGAGTATGAAATATTTAAGTTATAGAAATATAAAAAAAAATTGAGAACTCTGGCCTGTTTATAATCCTTATGCTCTTACCATTGATACATCATATGGGGGAATGAAGGGGGCAGCCTTTACTGATCAGGCCTTCTCAAGCTGATGGTGGGTAGCTTGGAGATAGTGGAGAACCTCTGAATGTATGTACTTTCTGTAGACAGCTCGACTGCACTGCTGGCAAGAACCGTAGTCGAAAGTTGATATTCCTCTTCTCTTAGTGGACTGGAAACAAATATCTTGAGAGTCGCGCCTCAAGGCTAACAAAAAGAAGGCTACCTAGGACTGGTTGCTTGAACTGATTATAAAACTAGCAGCTATCTGGCCAAAGACTTGTGCTCGCAATTTATATAACTAGTGATCGTGACCTTAAAGTTACTATCATACCCTGAAAGTCTCGTCCATAACCTGAGATTGCGATCGTAACCTAGAACCCTGAAGCAAATAACTTCTGAGTGAATTTTCAATCCGAACGCCTCGCGGACTGCAATTATGCAATTTCATTTATGTCAGTGTTCTGGGTATTATTTTTACACGAACAATATCGGTATATTAAATAACAAAATATAGGCGATAGAAATGCAATGGACTGTAAATAATAGTTTCTGTAGTTTGATTTTTTTTGAAGTGAATATAGGGATATATACGACAATGGCACATTTTCAACAACGACTCACCATGTGTCGAACGCCGGCATGCTGAACTCAATTTTTCTTCTGCTACTGGTGGACGGCCGTCCTGCTGCGGATTTTACTGGATGAGACACTCACGGAGTTTTCACAAGCAGAATACTGTGTTTATTAGAGTCAATAGAAATAGGGCGAAGTTTTGGAAACACCAACGAAAACTCTTCCGATTTTTACAATACACCTGGCGAGGTTAATTAATACATATCTTGAACTGCTACTGATCGTTCGTAGTGGGGGCAAAAAATAGGCTTCATTCGCTGAGTCGCTAGCAGGTAGAAAATATTCCATTGTTTTTCGCGCGTAATTCAAATAGTTATTAAAAATGGTTAGGCATAAATCAAGAATATCTCTCAGCGCATATATATTTGTTTTAGGACGAAACAAAATAGCTCAATTGATGTCTAGGTGGACTTACAGGCATCTGACAATTTAGAAATAGTCCGGGTATCAAGAGTGTTCCACGGTTGATAGATGGCGCCGTTAGTACTATTCTGAATATACGCGTCTTATCTTTGAGAGTCGCAGTGAGAAAATAGGTGGTTCAGGAATGATGAAAAAGCATTGGCATGATCCTTGTTTCTATTGGAATGGAAAAGCGATAGGTGATTTCGCGAGGGGAACGTCAAATTTGCCTCATGAGTTGAAATACCCTTATGTAAAGGAAACATCCTTGAAATGATGAGAAACTTTGGGATTCAAAAGATTCCAATAAGGCACTTGGTCCTGATCTTTTCATTGAGGTGAGTAAAACTACACATAGTGCTCCTATTTTCTACAGAGGAAATGTATTGTATGGTAAACTTCATTCTATTCTCTCAGGAATCCTCTCTGAAAATATATTTCATCATATCTTCCCCCGAATTGGAACGGATTTTCTCCATCCATCAACCCGTAACCTGCCCAAGCTCTCCACTGTATTAGTACACATTTCGGCGCCCTACCCGTGGCCTGGTAGGTATTCGTTGGGGTTATCTGTTTGAAATCATGCAAAGAACACCATCTGGAAGCAAAAATTATAACCTGAGATCCAGGATGATAGATCCAAACGGGGAAAACATACCTGCTGGAGCACCAAATGGAAAAAGTCAGGCAGCAGGTGAACATGAAGATCGACAAGCTCAAGGTAGGATCAATCCAGATATTAATATTGGTCTGACGAGTCCAAATCACAGTTACCAGCAAACCAGAGAATTTGAAAATCTTGCTCGAGCTAATGACAATAATATGCAACAACAACCATATTGAATGTAAATCAAACACCGGATATGGAACAGATGGTCACTAAAGTTGTCACATCAGTGTTAAATAATTTCAGAAATAGTGAAGTGATAAATTCAATGAGAATTCTCAATATTTCCTCAAATCCACAAACCGCTCGAAGTTATCAGGAAGACAATTCGTTGCATCCTGTTGATTTTTTGAGTCAATTAGAAAACAATTTTCAAATTCTAGAGATCTCCTATGCAAAAGTCGAAGCACGTAGTAGTGATATTTTCAAAAATGCTGTCCAAGATATGGGCTGACGCCATGTTACATGAATTCCCGATATATTCAAAGTTCAAATCGGCTTTCCAAGACCACTTCTGGGGCACTCATATATGTATATGGAAGGCAACTCATTAATAGATTATGTCCCTTCCCATTAGGCTTAGCAAAACATTTGCAGCCTTCAAACACTGACAAATTGTTGATTGCAACAATGGCCAAAAATTTTCCTCCTCATATTTTGGTCATGCTGGTGGGAGTCACAGATATTAAACAAGCCATCGATCGACTACAAATCGCATGATTTCACACGAGCAAAGGTGTGCATAAGAGGGAAAAACAAAATGTAACTTTTAAGGATACAAATCAGAGTAGGAGTTACGGAAATTATAAAACATATCAACAATGAATTATCTGGAATGTGAAGGTGAAAATGAGCAGGAAAACTTTCGAGCCACACGCATTTTGGCTTCAATGTGAGGGCAAATTTGAGATAGACCAAATTCTATTTGGTTCGATTTGGGCGAACATCTTTCGGACCAATGTGGATTCGAAGACCAGTGCATTCATCTACTATCGAAATAAAAATATACAGTGCTTTTCTTTAATGTCCCCCCCCCCCTCTTAGTATTTTTTGAACGAGTCAACTGAGGAAATTGAAACTTGGGGTGATGAAATTGGTGTATGAATACTATATTTTGGAGTAGATTTGACAAATCAAAATTTCAAGATCGCGACTAGGAGCCATCTGGGATAAAAAAATTGAATGGGAAGGTGGTTCTTGTGACGAATCATTTTGAAGCTCCTGACAAATACTTCACAACCCTAGAATACAAAGTCAATATCTTCATCTAATACAGAATGGCGGAAAATTCAATAGTTGCCTGAATACAAAAACATCGGTATCGTTATTTCTAGCAATAAGTATTTGTTTTTTCCCAACAACTTGAAGAGGTTTCAGAGGATATTTTTTGTTTATGAAAAAAAATCTTAGTACGACAACGAACATTATTGTTCTGTTGGAATATTCTCATTCAGTATTTGGTTTCACTACATAGTGAATAGGTACCACGTGGACTATCTCTAAAATAGCCAATTCTCGTCCAT